TTACTCCCACTTAGAAGCAATTTTATCAGCACAAAAAAGCAAGGTGGTGGTGGGTGGCTTTATTGGGGTGGACCACCGCCAGTGCAGCAGAGGTACTGAGTATACAAGTAGACATACACTTGTACCCAGCTGGACACACAGAGGTACAGAGATCGTAAATGTCAGTGTTAAAGGGATATTTCAAGTGTCGTTGGTTTAACTGACACAATATTTACACTGGCGTCACAAAGTATTTTGCTGTTTCTGTGAAATTGTCAAAGGGAGGAATACTTTGGTGCTACAGAAATTAAACTATACTTTTTGCATTTAGGTTTTCCAAATGTAAGGGGCAATCTTGAGATTTCTGCAGGACATTTAGCTTAATTGGAATCATCATCATTTGGAATATCTGACCTTGGTGAAGAGCACGTGAGACCCGTGTTTTGAGAACTGGCATGTTGCTGTTCAAATAAAGGGACCTCAAGTAAAAGTTGATTTTGTACTTTAAAAGCTTGGTCGATTAAGCTGAATCAACGGTGGAATCTGCCCGTGTCGTGTTTGTTTCCACTCTTTAAACTCCTACAAATATACTAAACTTATACGTCACTTCCTAGGAAAGGATAAACGTAGGCAGTTAACACAGGGGTCTCTTTGTATGAGTGTATGTTGGCGTTAAAATGTTTGTAGAGCAATATCCTGAACCCTGCCAGCAAGGTAGACATGTTTGCAGGGAGGTTAGGAAATGAGAGCTGCTTCAAGAAAGGCTTATCCTTACAATATCTGAAATTCTCCTCTACATTACACATGACATGCCCAGAGTGGCATACATAACTAGAGGATTAATTCATGCTCACCTAAGCCTTCATATATTCCTTATCGAAGAGTATGTTTTAAAATCTTAATTGAATCTAGAGAGAGTCTGTCTCCTAGATTTTACTCTGGTTTCTGCCTCTTATACACTCTGAGCAAAGCCCTAGTAGGGCCTCATCAGAAAAAACTGTGTATATACTGTATATATGTGAGGAATTTAATGGCACCAAGTTAGCTGGATGGATATGGTATTTTCTTTACTATTTTAATTATCTATTTTGCATAGGTGCAATATCCCTGATGCCTGACTGTGGATCTGGAGGCCATGGTGACGTCACCTAAAGTGATTTCAGAGTCCAGTCTTATCAGGGTTTTTTTTAAGTATATTCAGTGTAGGACCAGGGATATTTTGTCTGGATGCATTGACAAATACAGTTACATATCATCAGTTGTTTAACAACGGATGTTGGTATCATGTTTTCTTATAATATTCCCTCCTGGAAGCATATATAATGTAGAAATAAAAAACTGAACAGAAACTAAGTGAACTAAAAAGCACTATTAATCAGGTTTATAGCTTGGATGCTGACAGTAACGTTGTTATGTCTCATATCTTTATCTCAGTGAGTGCAATGTTTGGGTCCATTGTGCCCCACTTGGTGACAATAGGTAATGTTTGGTCTAAAGAAGGCTAGCCTGAATCATATTTCTTCTCTGTTGTCAAAGTCTTTTCCATCCTTGAAAGAGTAGTAGTACATAACTACTTGTCTGAGTTTGAATTACTGTTTCATTTGTAGCCTGTGGCCTTGCAGCTGAGGACAGAGGCTTGGCAGGACAGTGATGTTGAACAAACTCCAAAAGCCTTTTCTATCGCACTATTTTCAGTTTTTTTGGTAAATCCTATTGGCCTTGTGTGTACTGTTGTTCTGCACAAACTTTGATTCAGAGACCTTCCCTTTTGTTCACCTCAATTTGCCCACATATAAAATCCCACAAATCTTTCAACTACCACATTTCATTAAAATAGAGTCACGTCTTAGGGTCGGGCACCTCATAGAGGTCAGGGCTTGAACAGTCAACTACATACTCCATCAATACTTGCATTGGGAGTAAGGAGAATGGGGAGGGGATCGGGGGGGCAGCAGCTATAATTGACTGCCGCCATTACAGGAAGCAATGAGTTCTAGGCAAATAGCAGGGTAAAACACATGGCCTTAGCCGCGTGCCACCTTTGCCCCAAGCCTTTCCTGACAAACGTGGAAACGGTCACGCTGTACGACAGCAGAGGAAATGCTCCCAGCAGAGCACGGTGCAGGATACAGGTCAGGAGTTCCCACCATAAGAAAAGAGGAAACCTGATTTATGACTTGTATTCTGGTGAGCCTCAAAGGGACTTTTCAAATACATAAATTATATAAATTTTAAGCCGCTGCTTGTGCTCTGTGTGGCTTTAGTTCCATGACGTAGTAAAGCCATTTTCTAGCAAATATGCATTGTCTTTTAAAATTCGGTAAGTGCAGTGTCATTTCAAACATCTTTCTTGTCTTCAGCAAAACAAAACCACAACGTAAGAGAGGAAATTTTTCAAAAATTCTACAGAAGTATCTGCATTTATCTGGGCAACATGACTACAGAGACAGAGCTAAGCCCTTGACCGTAGGTCTGGTTTAAACACTCGTACGGATGCCTGAGAAATTCTCCCGTTTCCTTGCCAGATTGGTGGAAACTAGATAGCAGTGCCCTGCACATCCTCCGAGTGGAAACGTTTGATTGACAGTGAATTGTGGCTGTGAAGCAGACCTTTAGTGCAGCTACTTCTAGTACCAAGGTCAGAGTGGAAGTTCAGAAGCAACATCTGCTTTTCACTGACGCAACAAAGTCTGTTTCCATTCGAGTGAGATCGTGGATCTTAATCAGGATGTGTGGACATGTGCACCTACATGCATCTGGTTTTTCTCTTGACCAATTTGTGGTAAACTGATAGGTCTAAATAGTATTGCAACGTTTCCAATTCTTCCAAATTGCCTTTAAATGTTTTTAAAGGTGAAAACACTTAAATCGTAGAATAATAAAACAGCAAAAAAAAAGTGTCATTTATGATACATATTTTTATTTGGTAAGCTTTTTGAAGTATTTTCGAGCATCCTTATTTTCACTAATAAGAACTGACCTGCTCCCGTGTGATGTTTAACTGTGATTCCTGTGTCAATCAGTGCTAATGTACCAATACCTCACACAACCAAATTAAAAAAAAAACTATCCCTTTAATACATGTGCGATTGAATACAGAAACAGACAGTATATAATAAGAGCTGTAAAGAGCAGTGGACAACATCTAAGTATGATAGGTCATTAAAAAACATAACTCTTTGCTATAAAATATGCAAATACTCTCTTGTCGACACAAAGAAAATAAAGAAGCTCAGATGCATGCTGATTTTTTTTCTGCAAATCTATAATTAATATCTAAAAGACTATGATGTTTATGTTGCCTTGAGGTAATTAATTATTAATACTTTTGTGACACTACAGGTGCCATAAAGGAAAAAGAAGTACAGCAAAAACTCATTCTCTGTTTTAGCCTTAAATAAAAGGTTCAGGTAAAGTTAGACGCAAATCCTTGTATGGGTTCCTGAGTCTGTAAAACACAATAAGTCACAGGTAAACTGCTGAGTAAAAAAAGCAACACCCAGGTTGATGGCAAAATGATTTGTTCTACATTAAGTGTTTATGTACGTTATTATTCATAGGACAACTCAGTACATGTGACACACACACACACACACACATCTCCAGCACAAAACTATTGACGCGATGGGGCTTTAACAGCATCACTGGCCGAAGGTCGGGAATGTCTGGAACGGTCGACAATTGGTAACTCCACGTAACAGTTATCATTTAAAAGACAGACAAAAAAATGTACAAAATAATTCATATTATTTTCTAAAACGTGTGCACACGCAGTCACACAGAATGTTTGCGGTTGCGTGTGTACACACATATACATATACATATATATATGTGCATATATAGAGATTTACACAACAACATAGGCAGCTCCCTTTGTCTCCTCTGTCCAATGTCACTGGAATGCACAAACCTGATGGGACACGGAGCAAGTGTCATGCAGTTACAAAGAAACACTGCAACTGGAAAGATTGTCCTCCTTGTAGCTGCATGTGCTTCAGTGGCAGATTGGTATCAAGCCCACCGGCCTGGAGACCCCAATGCCACCATGCATTACATCATGAATTAGAATCTTAAATATACAAGTTGATGTTTCTCCACAAAAAGTACAGTCACAGCCCAGAGGCCTCAGCTGCGCGAGTCTGTTTACACTCTACGGTAGAATAACGCTTAGTTAAATAAACTTATTTCATATATATTTATATATTTATAATAGATATATTCTTTGCAGAGTCATTTTAACAGTACTTCCTTGTTTTAACCAGTTTGCTCTGGTACTTCACTGAGTGTCCACTGTGTCCAACGACATAAACGTCCAGCATGTAGGTCTTCCCAGGTTCCAGACCTGTGATGGTCTCTGTTGTTACAGCTTTCTGCAGATTTGGACTGTGGAAGTACTTGCACAGGACCTTTTCTAATTTCGTGCGGGTCTCGGGCCCGGCACATTGGTTCTGCTCCCGACGTCTCTGTTCATCACTGTAGTTATCAGGTACCTCTTTGCGGTAAATGCAGTATTTGTTAGGGTCCTGCGTGCCCAGCCAGGCCACGGTGACAGAGGAGCAGGTGCGAAGCTTGTCAAAGGCCTTGATGCGCGTGTCTTCTGGGAGTGAAGGGAAAGGCTGTTTGGCGCTGGGTCGTGTGGTGGCGAGCACCTTCAGGGTGGAGGCTCCTTTCCTGCTGCCCCGCAAGCGGATTAAGTACTTGGCCTTCGGCTTTCCTCTCAGCTGAAACTGTTGGACACCTTCCACATTCTGGGAGAGCAGTAGCCTACCGTCACGCCTCACCTGCACCTGCACGGCGTCCAGACAGGTGTGTACGTACAGGGTCACCCTCTGATGGGAGGAAACTGGAGCAAAACGCAGAAACTTGCTTCCTTTTCTTTTGATGAAAATTTCTGATACCTTGCCATCTTTCAACTCCACCGTCTTCTGACGGGCTTCCTCTTTGGTCCGGGCAAAGGTTCCCACATACGCCGTGCTGGTGTTGGTGGCAGAGTTGACGGCAAACACATCAAAATAGTACTGTGTGTTTGGCTTCAGGTCCGACACAGTGAAAATATTTTTATTGCCAATGCACACCTTCTGAATGTCTAAGGTTTTGGACTTGGCTGCGTATGGTCGTGAAATCTTGTTGCTCATTAGTCCGTGATCTTTGCCTAAACCGTTCTCTGAGCGACCAAAGCCAAAGTGCATGAAGTCAAACGGGCTGAAGTCTCTGCCAGCCTTCGGAGCCAGCATGAAGGCGTCATCAGCGCTGATCTTAGCTTCTGCGGCACACATGCTCTTGAAGTTGTGTTCCTTGTTAATGACCACACAGTAGTGGACAGGCTGACCCATCACGAAACCCGTGGGTGTAGGCTTCCAGGCAAGAGTGACGGTGGTGTGGCCCAGGCCAGTCACGTCCACACGAGGGTCGTAGGGCAGCTCGGGGTACGGCTGGTCTGACTCTGGAGTCGTGGTGGCGTACACCTTGAAGTTACTGTCTCTCTCTGTGGATAGAATCTCCAGCTCGTAGAGTCCAGAGGGCGTGCTAACAGCCACGTAGGACTCAACGTCATTTCCCTTGTAGGAGAAAAGCTCTGTTCCTTCATCAACGGTCGTCTGCTCTTTCTGCTCTTCCAGAGGTTCAGATTCTCCTTGAAAAGATAAGACATAAGGAGCACAATGTGAGGTTTCAATGGCATCAGTCAAACATGTTGGTGGGGACTTTGCAGTCTTTATCTTTTCACCATTACAAAGCCCAAAAAGCTATTTTTGTCATATAGCAGCACCTTTTAATGTTAATTTAGCCTTTTCCAAATAGAGAACTATTCATTGTCGAAGAAATGTGAAAAGAATGAGAAGAAAAAGGGAGAAAAAACACAGACAGACTCGAGTCCAGCAGAGTTTGCCTGAGGACGACTAAGATAGCCTAAATAGGAGGAAGTGATGGTTTTGATTTAGCAGCAGAACCCTGCCCTAAAATTATACACATCAGCTCAGGTTGAGTCAGACATAAGTGGTCAGACGAGACACCATGACTGTGTCTTAATTAAAACCCGCTAAAACTCCAAGCCTAGCATCACTGTGCCAAGTAATTGTGCAGAGTAGTGATATTTCCACGTAACCCATCATTAGCCTCTCCTGCTGCTGTCTGATGTCAAACATACCTGATCCCTGGCCACTGGCCTCTTCTGGCAGCTCCTGTAGTGTGAGTTTCCACTCCAGAGGGGCATCGCAAGGTGTAACCATCACAGACAGGGGTGTGTTGTCTTCTTCCACCATAAAGTAGTACCTTTTAAATGATAGGCCAGATATAAGCACAGTTTATTTTTTGTCTGTTTGGCTACACCTATACACCTTTTTACTACAGCAGCCGTATGTGTATGTGATGTGGCTTTAAAAGACATTAGCTGACTGTAGCATTAGCAATTAGCAACTATTGAACTAAAAAGGGAAAGTATCAAAAATGAGAGCAGCTTTTCAAATCAGTTATTTGAAAAAGTATGTAAACAAAAAACAAATGTAGACATGGATGTTTACACTGTCTGATTATCTAAAATAACTACAAAAATGGCACCTATGGGTATAAATACTACATAAAACCTGTGATGTACTAAGTCCGTTCTCTGAATCACGGTTTGACAATTTAATAGCAGTTATTCAAACACTTCTCAGACATCAACAAAGCTACATTTCCTCCTGGACAGTCAGCCATCTGCACTCTTATGTGCTCTGCTCTGGAGACAAGCTTAAAACATGGCCATTAAATCATGTTGGATCAAAGTAGGCTTTAAGCAAATAACACCTCATTTTCTTAGAATGATATTAACTCCCCTTTTCAGTGGAGACACCACTGAAAATTAACTTCTAAAAATGTACACTGTGTATAATTTAGATGCATCAGATCAACCGCAGTCATGGTGCACAAACTGACAAAAACACACAACACTCATTTAAGTCAGTGGCCATCAAATATTTTACACGGCGTACCAACTCTGAAAATATTTACCCCTTGAAGTACCACCAGTGCAAACAACTACTCAAAATACTCAGCAGCACAGGCATAGATTACGCAGAGGAAAAGTTATTCTAAAAAACTAGGTACACAACCAGTAGACATGTATGGTACCACAGTAGACATCTTGAGTTCTTAGAAGCACCAGATCTGTTTTCTTGATAAAATAATTTAAAAAGTCATCACCTTTTTGATGTGTCCCTGAAGAGGTACCCACTGATCTCTGCTCCATCTGGAATGACGGATGAGTCGTGGTACAGCATCTTGTCTCTGATCTGCATTTGGAAGAGCCCTTCGTCTCTTGTGGGCAGCTTCTGTGCCATAGCACTCAGCTCCAAAAGCAGCAGCAGCAGCACACTCCAGCGTTTACCCAGCCTCATTCTGGTGAACAATTACAAAATGCACAATAGGTTATTGGGTATAATAGTCACTTCATATGTTCAACAACCAATCACACGCATTCAAACCTATGGCCAATTTTAACAATAACATTAACCCCTAATGAGCACATTTTTGGGCTGTGAGATGAAACCAGACTACACTAAGAAACCCCACGCACACACCAGGCTGGATCACTTGGTAAACATTACCATGTTTTAGAGTAGTATCCAATTAAAGTCCCAGGTTTCTTTTTCCCCTTTTCTTTAAAACTCAAATGTAAATATGCCACCTTTTAAACATAAAAAGCTGCGCAAGAGAATAAGCTTAGATTTAGGACCAAATGATCATGTGACTTAGTCGATAACGTATGAAGAGCTTCCAACAAATGACCATTGAAAAGGGTTTCTTCTTCTTTTATTTTGAAAGAATGGTCTTCTCTTCATTCATTTATTCTTTGCTGCTTAATCCTAGTCAGGGTCATGAGGGGAGCTGGAGCTAATCCCAGCAGTCATTGATCGAAGGTCGGGTATACACTGGAAAGTTATCTAGTCTATAGCAGGGTCACATGTAGAGAGAAATAAACTTAATCTCTCAACCTGCATATCTTATGGACTGTGGGAGAAAAATGGAGTTACCTCCCCTCCCATTTTTAAAAATCAATTATTTTTTGTGTAGTGCATTTAACCCAAACACCACCTAACTGTGATTGACTGTGAGCAGTATGGAAATATCTGAAAGTGTAAAAATCTTGGTATAATTTAATAATAATATAACAGGATTTGCTGGTTTGAGGACAACGGGAGGCTGAATTTAGCTAAGATCCTCTCATGTATCGCCTACTCTTGTGTTCCCCACTGACTGCAACTAATGAAGACACCAAATCCACGGTGTCAATTAACATAATCAATGCAGATTAGCCAGACGTTTGTTACTGCAGGAGAGATGACGTCCTTTAAATGACCCCTGTTTGCAGACACACATACATCCATTTATCAGGTTTTTCTGATGTTTACTTAACCATAGACAGAACACACTCATTAACATGCCTGGCTCAACGAGTGAGGTAATAACATTTGTTTACCTCAGTGATGATTCTGAGGTATTCTGAATTTAGGATGATTGACTCTGCACTATTATCACATTTAAACTACACAAAATTGATTTTTACATATTTTTTGGTTGTGTTATGATGATTTTCTTTTTTTTTTAGCTAGATCTCATCATGTTTTTAATGTAATTTTGACTTTAGATTTAACTTTTGTATTTTCTTGCTAATCTTTTAGTTTAGTTTAGTTTTAGACGTCATCTACAGACTTTTCTGCTAATTTCAGCAATTTATGGGAATACTATCTTTGGCTGGGGGAGGGAGCAGCTTTGAGGTAAGGCTCCTTGTCTGCCATATCAACTGTTTAAGTCCACTCTGGCCTTTTTCTCCCAACCTCAATGGAAACATTTTGGCTCAGAAAGAGGAACCAGTGCAAAATCTCTGCCAAGTCATTCCAAAAATACTCCTGATGAAGAGGAAAGCAAAAAGGGGGAAGACAACCAGCTAGCATAGCATAACTATTCATTAACTGTAATTACTATTGAAAGCAAAGTGACATGCAGTTTAATGAAAAAAAGTTCTTTATGAAGTTGACTGACATTCACTTTCATTTGGCATGAACTGAATGGGCTGCATGTTGTTTAAATTTTGTTTTCGATCTGCCGAGGTAAACAGCAACACTGAGCCTGGATCTGCTGAAGATTTCTTCCTGTTAAAAGGCAGTTTTTTCATAAGATTTGCTGAGTGTGTGATTTAATTTGGGTTTCAGTAATATTCATAAAACCTACACACATTACTCCATTTTTCCCTGTTGTATTTTTATAGGAGGCTTATTTTAATTTAAATTTTAGTCCATTGAGACAAATGTACAAATAAAATTGCCTTAACTTGATTTTAGTAAGAATTTCACTGAAGATTTTTAAACCTAGTTTTACACAAAGCACTTTTTAAATAACTTAAATTTGGTCAAATAAAAATATAAATCATTATTTTTAATATGTTTAAAAATGCAAAACAAAAACATATTTAACTAGGACTTTCAACACCGATAAATGTGACAGCTGCTGTCAGGTCTCCGGTCACACTGCCAGTCTTTGGAGACCAACAAAGACTTCATCGAAGTTGGACTCACACAGAGAGGGGAGGACACTTATCCTTATCTCTTCCTTTCAGCAGCGTGGTAGTTGCACCAAAGACATGTCTATTAATACTTGTAATGGCTCTGAGGAAGGTATCCACAGAGAAGACTTCACACCCACAAACCCCCAATGACATGTACACATACTCCAGATACTCCCTCACCCCACACTGATTTCATTACACATATCATGAGCCATCACTCACACTGCAGAGTGATTTTTCTTTTTTCAACACTGTCAAGACCGTGTTGTTTCTGTTGGTTCTGTGGCACTGCTGGCTGCAAGTATTAGGAAACATCTTGTTCATGCTGTGCCATTGGTTCACTGCCTGTGCTTTTAAGTCTGCACTTATTAGAGGAGATTTCACAGACAATTTTCATAGGAGGTACAGGAAGTGGTTAGGCCCGCATGAGTGGAGGGGCTGGATTCTCCCCCTGTAGTTCTAATGTGAGCTCTTCCCAACAAAGCCACTTCTGAAGGAGTGGAGAAAGTGGTCAAATATTTTTTAGATTACAATTGGAATTTGAAGATCGCCTGGATTAGCACGACTAGGATTTACCTGGGTTGTTGGGCTTGGCTCACTTTCTAATGCGTGTGGTCGTGTTTTTGGCCTTTGTTATAGAAATTAGATGAAGTATCTCTTTTGTCTGATTCCTTTATTATTTAAGTGTCTTAACAATGATTTGACAAATGTCTTTCCTGGCTCAACACAACAGGAGGAACTTAAATTAAACTGAGAACTTTGTGTATGACTGGAAGGAATCCTACCAGTCCGTCTCTTTGGCTTTTTGTTAGATAAAATGAATAATACTGTCCTTCTGGGGAAGGAAGGAGTTGGAAAAATTAGTGTTTGCCCTAATATATGGAAATACAGAGTGAGATTAAAATGTACGAAAGGTTTTTTTTATTATTATTGTTTTTAAGGTCATGTTTTAGTCTACTCACTGATTAAGTCTTCAACAACAATAATTTGAACTGAAAACGTGAAGAACTGAATATGGAAAGACTCTGTTACAAATATAAATCTGTTAATCATAATCCAAGTACACTTGTAAATAATCTGAGCCTCCACGTCTGCTGCCATGGAGAGAGTAATTAGAGCATCTGGAACAAATAAAACATTTACTCAGAGCAGGGAAAAGGACATGATCAGGATTTATGGAGCAGATCAAAGGAAACCTTGCACACGATCTTGTCAACCATGTTGTGCTGCTCATTTTTATTTGCACATTTCGGTACAATTAAAGTTTGTTGCTTTAATTTAATGAGCTTAACAAAGTTTCTTTTGGTCAAAAAGCATGTATTTGTGGAGTTTTGTGAGGTGGCGAAATGGGATGGAAACACGATGAGAGCATAGCACTTGTACAAAATAGGGTTTTTCTTAGAAAAGCATGTACGTCTCTTTAATGTAAAACTACATGACAGCAAATTAAACACATACATTTTTACTTCCAAAAGTGTAATGTGCAAGGTGTTTTAATTTGTTTTACTAATAAACACAGTACTACAGACTTCCTGTAAAGGCATTATCTTTGTATGATTGTTTAAAATAGTAAAAAAAAAATACTATTATTTTGCACTGATGTGCTATGTTGTTACTTATTTTTTATTTATGACTTTTTGTGCACATTTGCATGGGGCATTACAAATTGAGTTGTTATTGGAATCATTACTTCAACATATTTTATTACCAAGCTGTAATCCAAGTAGGTCTGGTGACACTAGACAAAAAAAAAGATCTTCTTTTAAACTAGAGACTGTGGTACAGGCTCCCTTCCAAAATGAAGATTTATACTGTATGTGTGTGTGTGTGTGTGTGTGTGTGTGCCTGTGCACAACCAAACCATTGCATTCCACCACTCCGCTCTGAATGCTAGTTTAAATATCCCTCTGGACCTGTCTCCTGGCCATCCACAACATTACCCGCAGTTCTAGTTACTGAACTCTCCACATCATCAAAACCACCGATGCTGGCACCATTACATGATGGGAAAGATGAGAGCCGAGTTTCCCTTCCCTTTTAATGCCCTCCCTTTTCAATTCTCTACAGTTCATTCTTAAGCATTTAACACGGCAGCCTTCCAGAGGAATACTGCTCTGGAAGGGAGAGCCTCAAGAAACTGGCAAGTTGCTGGGTTGCCAAGAAAGAAAATCATCCAAAGTTGACACTTGGTGTTGGCAGTGTGGTTAACAATGTTTTGCTGTACATTTGTTAATTGCTCTGCACAGTAGTAGAAAGGTGTGTACAGTACCTGGTTACAGGTTAAAGATGTGTCAGTGTTCATGACAGAGTTCTTTCTTATTTCCCATGTGTGTAGTAAATGAAGTTATTGTTGGTGGTGATTACAGTAACAGTGGTAGTGTTGGTGAGGTGAGACACCCTGGTAGACGGTGGTAATGCTAGTGTTGTTGGTGATGCTAGTGGTCTTGGTTCTGTTGTTGGAATCATTTTAGGGAATGGTAGTGGTGTTCATGGAAGTGCTGTGGTGGCGATGGTAGTGTGTAGTGTGCTGTGTTGACAGCAGTGGATAAGCCTGGGTGTCAACAAAGGATAATGATCACCATTTTCTTCTTTAGATCTATATGACACCAACAACAGATGGTGATAAAATGTTCTAATTGAGTTTCAACATAAAACACAATCAGTCACATACATTGATTATTGCAACAAACCAATTACATTTCTAATCCTTTCTAATTCCTGCTTTTAAGTATTAATTTGATGATATTGAGCGACATGATTTGTCAGTGAGAGAAATGCGTCCCATAGATGGAAGAGTCAGTCAGCTCTGTGTACGAGCAGTTTCTTTATTCTACTGGAGCCACACTCCCATTCAACCCAGTCAATATATTTAGTCCTCTACGAGTTAGCATGCCCCCTATCAAGTTTTGTTGCTTCAGCTCCCGGACTTAACCAGTTATTCATGCATAAGCCTCTGATAGGAACTGGCCCAGAAAGTCATTCACGCGTTGAGCAGCATCATCATCATAATCCTCCTCCTCAATCACTTTGTTGGTTTTGTTGTAAGATGGCATCACAGTATGATTATTATCTTGGAAAAACTGCAACGCAGCTCTTAACAGTGAAAACAATTACACATATCTAAGTGTACAATCTTTACTTTAATATATAGAATGTAGAAAATAGATATTAGAATGTAAACTTGCAGTTTGTTTTTTACGAAGTAACAATTTCCATTTACATATATGATACTCCATACAAGAGCATGCCAACCTCTTTATACCTCTGTCCGCATCACAGGAAGAGGGAACTACTTGCTCCGTGTTAAAAAAAAACACTTTCTGAAGAATCTATAATTTGCAAATTGTAAATGGCATGGCAGCTGGCCACTGCTGCTGTACCATAATGAAAGACTCTTTGAGGGGAAGAGACGAAAAAACACGGAATACGGGCCCTGTGGCTGCAGCAGGAAGCGAATCAAAACAGTATGTAGCAGTTCTTTTGCTACTTGTCCTCAATGTGAAACAATAAAATCTAATTCAAATTAGAAGCTGACCTTCTCTGCCCCTGATGAATGCAGGACTTACGACTGACGGAATTCTGTGGGCCTCAAAAAGTTTTCATATGCAAAACTTTTAGGGTTGTGTTTGTATGCATGTCTGCTGTGTGTGTGTGTGTGTGTGTGTGTGTGTGTCTGAGTGACTGAGTGAGGGAGAGAGAGAGAGGCAGTGTGGCTGCACGGCTTCACTGCTGCGGTCGCAAGACGCACTTTCACGAACCTGCACTCACGGCATACTGACACCCCGCCAATCAGGTGAAAAAAACAAAACACGGGTGACACGAAAACAATTGTTTTAAATAGTAACATTTCACTTGAATCACTTAACACCTATTGATAACTACAGCTATTCTTGACGTCCAACGCCGAAACACGCAAGGAACCAATGAACCCAGGAACCCTTCCTCTAATTTCCTGTTGTACAATTGCTCCAACACTTTAGTCGTAGTAATACGTAATGCTGGTCGCTGCACTGATGTTGTAAAGTACTCTGCACTATTTAATTGTCGTAAAATCAATTTAACGTCCAGATATTAACGGCTGTTAGGTTTTCTCTATTCTACACCACCAGCTGAAGACCAGCTACCTGACGTAAGCACACAGTCTTTATATATGTATATATATGACAATTTACATCTATATCCTATAACCTTTGACCTTAACCTCAAAAGCAGGTTCTGTCTCTTAAGGTCTCTGTCTCCGGATCATGGCTGGAGCATTTTTTAATCCGCAAAACTGCCTGTATTACAAAAACAAAAAACACCTATTTTCTGACATAAACTGATTGATACCAGAAGATATGCGAGGTACAGTTACTCCTCGTACAGACTCTACTTCCCACTGAAGTTTAAAAAAATGAAGGTAAATGTGTGAATGTTTTTGTTCCAAACTAACCAAATTGGTTACGAATTGCTTCGACATTGCTAAACACAAAAACGTGTGTCGCGTACATCAGTTCCAGACATGAGGGAATTAGAAAACCTTGTTTTTCTGGAAGAATGGGAAAAAAACCGACGTGTTTGGTTCTGAAAACGTAAACCTGGAAACGTGTGTGAAAACTTACTTCTGCGGCACGAAGAAACCCGTAACTGTCGCTGTTTTACAACATCCAACATCGATACTATATATATTAATATATAGATTTAAATATATAGAGATAGATATATGTATAGCCCTGCGGACTGTACGGCAAGTTCTTTTTAGATATCGGAAAAACAGAGTCGAATCCTTGAATCCTTACCTCCGACTGAAGGTTCGCTTCTTATACTTCTGAGTCTTCTTCTTAAAACTGGTGGAAAGTGGAGATAATTCAAAAGGAAAAGTGTCTTCGAGTCGAAAATAGTAGTTTCCAACTCTGCTGCCTCTCCGAGTCCTTCTCCTGCAGCCCAGAACACAGCAGACCGGGACTAAGCTCTGCTGCTTTCTTACAGTTTTCCTGCCGATTTAACTGCTTTGTGGTGGGCAGGAGGGAGGGTGCGAGTGCGTGTGAACAAGCGCGAGGGTATGCGTTTGCGAGAGAGAGGGAGAGAGAGAGAGAGAGAGAGAGAAATACCGCCCCCTAGTGTTTGAGCCACTCCGCCGCTGCGCTCCCTGTGGAAAAGAGTGCTAAGAACCAGGAACAGTTTCGGAACAGTTCCACTACCTCAGCTGAAACTGAAGGGAAAATAAAAATATAACACTTTAAGAGAGCAACGTGGCATTTTCTTTAAATACATACAGCTGCCGTTTGAAGAGATTAGTAAGTAAGACATGTAAGTAAGATTGGAGAATTTTTAAAACAATAACTATGAATTATTTAAGTAATGTGTGACGTGTGGTTGTTTACATCACGTCATTGCTTGTCAACAGAGGGCGATCTATAACAATATTTAGGGGTGAATTATACTATATGTATATATGTATATACAACATGGAATACATAATTTAGCTAAGTGGTTCTAAAACTATGGTATGTGTACCATATGTGTTAATTGGCTCCCTCTAGTGGTACAGGGTTAACTGCATCAAATTCATATTAAATATCACTTAGTTGTTATATAGAGCTGTGGTATACTCGCGTTTGGTCTCTCTGTGTGTGTACTTTCATAATTACATTTTATTGGCAGTTGTATAGCTACGTCTTACAGTTTGGCTAAAAAACATTCTGTATATTTCTATTTATGGGACGAACACAACCGTTTTTTGAAAATTTACGATTTTTGACTCATTGTTTATTATATAGCAATGAATCGGTTTAAAAACACATTCAAACTCATTTGCTATGTCTTTATTTAAAGTTTTAAATTTAAAGTTAAGAAGCCACGCAAGAGTTTAGACGTCATGGTGGTACCGCAGCGACATCTAGTGTTTGATAAATTCTAATTTATTTTGTTTAGTTGATGAAATTGATATTCTTTAATGTAATCGTTACTAATGAAAATTTAAAATAATTATTAAAATAAATGGTGTAATTGTTATATATGTGTAAAAACAAATGTGTTAATCTTCCTCAACAACCTATTTGGAGCAATTGTAAAATAGATAATTTAAAAAAAATAGTGCCTAAAACTAAAGCACATTTGCTTTTATTACTATAAGCTTTATAAACATATTTTTATATGAACGAAACAAGTACTCATAATGACAGTAAAAACTACACAAACAACTACTGTAGTGATTAAGCCACAACCGTCTGCAGACATAATGGAGTCATTTTATATGAAGGTATAATGAAGTTTTATTACACTGCATCAGTAAGTTGATAGATGATTTTCATCAAACATATTTCCCCCAGTCTGAAAATGGATGTGTGAATTCTGCCCTTAATGAAGATGTCATGTGATTTTGCCTTATTGATGGACAGACAGAAAGAACAGATGACTGTTCTTTTTGAATTAGTTGCACTGCAGTGATGTTCAGCTGGATGCAGTTATGATGATAGGAGTGTCTGCTACTAAGTTCACTGGAGGGTCAGTCCATATCAAAGGTCATACTGGGGATGTCCATGCAAATTGAGAGATTAAGAGTTCCACACCAAAATAAAAAATGTTTAAGTAATTGAGGAGTGACATCAAGTAAATGTGTTCCTTTTTAAACTGATGTTCAATTTCATTCGTCTGATGTGATTTCAGATCACACCTAGAACATCCCAAGTGGATCCAAGCTCTCAGGAATGTAGCCTATCAGTACCTCATTCCCATTTTAACCAGGTTCTTAAATTTGAGAAAGTACAGAACAACCACATCCTGAGTATTGTCAACTGCCAATCAGAGAAAAGCAAACAGACTGTAGACAGAATTTGTCTTCATTGATAAAATGTAATCTAAGGCTCATTCTTAAATCACCTCAATTTACTTTGCATATACATTAAGTCAGGCTTACATAATGAAATTTCTGACTGAACTGAAAGTTGTCATTAAAAGAAAACCACCATCTCCTTTCCTTACATGACCAAACCACTCTTGTTCATCAACAGTACCATAAATCAGTCTAAACTCTTGACGAATCCACACCAGAAGACTGACTCATTTGAAAAAGTTTATTTGGGACAAACTCATTAGGACCGTGTAAATTTTATTCAGCATCCTCTTGTTCTTGAGCTCTGAGGAAACTGGCCTTTTTCTGGGCAACACGGTCTTTTCTCTGGGCCAATGACAACTTGGCCCGGTTCCACCTAGTGTTACAAAGACAAAGTAAGAATTAGCAGAACGAATAAATGAATGAGAGAGAGAATGTAAAGACCAAAGCAACAGATCATCAGTGGATGTAGTGAAAGGGTGGAGAACCTTTAGGTAAATAGTTCGCCTAGAAATTCTCCACCCATTACAACTACAAATCAAATTCCTCACCTCTTCTTCTTGACTTCTTTGGGAGGCTTCTTTTCGTGGACAGGGTTTTCACGAATGGCAGCATGAGCCTTCTTGTACATTTCCTCAATCTGGAGGGAAAATAAACATTTTTACTAAAAACTAATAACCAATTAATCTACAATAGTGAACAAATGCCCTAGTGTAGTAACTAACATCTCACTCCCAATATAGATGATAACAACAGTTATGGGTGTGCTTTTAAGAGATTTTATGATGTCACCATGAAGCACACATACACATCTGTATGGATGAAATGGTATCCAACAGTACACATGGCCACAATTTAGTAGAGTTGATATCCAGTATATTTACATTGAAAGCAAATACCTTTGTTATTTATTAAAAAATGACAAATGATGAAGTATTTGATTATTTGAACAATAGAATATAAAAGATGAAATCCTAAATACAGCAGGTATTTTGCTACTCCAAACTTCTACTGTGACACTACCTCTTACTAGGATGCGATACTACTGCCTCATGATGTGCTTCTTATAAATTGTAGTTTTCCCTGCTTTTGTCCCAAATACACCCACAATGTGATGTATTTGATGCATAACCAGGGCCCATTTTAACAACGATAACATTGACCAGTGTCTATCAATAAGAAGTCACTTCATTACATGCCTTAAATATTTTCCTTTCCCTTCTCCACCACTACTGTAGTTGACTAAGAAAACGTAATGTTCCTACTATAACACCATTTCAACCCAACTTTAGAAGCCATTTCTGTGCTAACCACCAACTAATGTAGTGATGCTGGAAGTGATTAAATGACTCGTGCAAGCAGCGGTTAGGTTCCCTCGCAATAGTGTCAGAGATAGCTGGAATTTTGTTCCATTCTGAAATATATATGGTTCCCCGAGACAATTTGTAAATGTACATTTTTACACTGTATATTTTTTGGGGGCTCATGGGTATTTGCGCCAATGGTTGTGTATGGCTAAATACATTATAAACACACGTGCAGTTACAAGCCCTATGTATCTAAAATTGATATTTAAATCATTCTAATTTTAAATAAATCATAAAAGATATGGTTCAGGTTACAACAATAATTCATATTATTAAATGAGGCGTTTTAGCAAAACATTCAACCATAAAATATGACTACCAAAAACCATGTGCCAGGAAGAAAGAAATCACAACAAATGTTTTATGCTCATGTCTTGCTAACCAGGTCCTTAATTATTCATTTACATAACAGTGAAGTAAAATATAACTAACAGAACAGAAATGTGCATTTGTAGATTTAAATGGCACAAAATTTCATCATAGTCATTAGAATACATAAACTATTCAGCATTTAGTCAGCAGAAAAGTGAACTACATTCACTGAGAAGCAAAAGCACAGATTGTTGCAGAAAGACCAGCATTAACCATGTGCATTTAATGCTTATGCATGGCTGTAATGGAGCAGACTTCCATGTTTTTGCTTGAGCAACTGACTAGAATGTATTAATGTACTGGTTTAGAATTAAAGTTATTAATAGTTAATAGATTCCAAAAATGTTAATTACACATGCAAGATCTTTGAGAATGTTGTGACAGTGTGGTCTGAGTAACACCATCCTTTTTTTCTTAATATAATTTGCCAAACTGGGAAAGTAGGACAAGGACTTGCCGATTCAGGGTTGACTCCATTCTTGATGAAGCGAGAGAACTGCTTCTTGTATGCTTCCTCATCCTCCTCCATCAGGTAGCTCATGTACTCCGATACATTGATGCCCAAGATGTGCTTGCGATGGACTTCGGCATTGAACTCCTTGCTTTCTGTATCGTATCCAGGGAATCGCTTAGTGCTAGGAGACAAGAGAGTGAATTTAATGAGGTAAACAATATAACTGTATTGTGTATTATGAACATAGAGATTTATTTAAAGAGGACAGTGATACTGTTGTTTTGCCATGAAATGTTTGATGCAATTTTAGAAAGAAAAAAAAATTCACAGAGATGTAACAGCCCTTAGTTGAGTCAGTGTATGCAATGATGTCTATGAACCATGAATGCTGTTTGGAAATAACCCACACTTGATCAATTTACAAACTTTTACAAACAAACATAAAAAAAAATTCTCACATGAAACCCAAGCAAAAAAGACTGGGCTGCATCTGGCTCAGGATTCCTATCTAAAGGTTTTAAAAAGGAGGAAGCAATGGGTTGACGCCTCAATTAGCTCACTTGAAAAGAGCAGATTTATTTACAGACTTTCCAAGTTATGTCCCTCCTAACAGTGACTCATTGGATTTTAAAAAACAAAAACAACACAAAGCTTAGCACATTGATTTTGTTAAAAAGTTACCTGTGAGGGATGGAAAGGCCTCCATCTACTGCTCCCTTCAGAGCACCAAACACCTTGTTGCCTGTAGTGGTTCTCGCCAACCCAGCATCCAGGTAACAGGTGAAGGCACCAGGCTGACCATCAATGCTCTCTACGTTGAACTCGTCACCTGTCACCTCCACTTGGCCCTCATACACCTTATCAAGACCAAACTTATTCAGCAGCTAAGGAAAGAAAAGAAAAACAATTCAGGTTTCTCCGACTTTACCAACCTATATGGGCTTACCAGTGATCGAAGTTACAAATGAATGGGACTGACAAAGAAACCCAATACGTACTCTACGGGCCAGCAGAAGACCAGTGCAATAGGCTGCTGCATAATTAGTCAGACCCACACTGATGCCATATTTTGGCAGCTCATGTGAGTAGGCAGCACACACGATCATATCACCTTCAATCTTGGCATAAGCAATCTGTAACACAATTGTAAAGAATATTTAATAAACCTTACAACACAACTAAGTACTGTTTAACATCACACCAAAATAAATTAAATAAGCCATGAAATATTCTACAGTAAATTCAATTATCAAAAAGACAATTGCCTAGACAAATCAATTACCAAATTCAAAATAGTAACAAAACATGCTTACTTGGCAGACAATGTCCCTGTTGGAAAAGCGGACAATCATCCTGTACTTAGGTGTGTTGTATTTGTTCTTATCTTGGATGACAAGGCGCTTACGGGCAAAGTAGTCAGTCTTGCCCTCTGAAAGCAACACAAGCAAACAATAGAACAAGCTTTAGCATTTTTAAACCAAACATACATGTACACAAGAATAAATCTGAAAGTCACTTGTCACAAGTTCTTACCTCTCCTCCTCCTGAATTTGACCTGATACCTCTTGAAGTAGGCCTTGTTTTTCACCACTTTGACAAACCCCTGTAGACAAACAAAAACAAAATTGGTTCAAAAATACATTTAGGTACATGTAAAAGTTAAAGCTCAACTTAAGGTTAATGGGCTGTCAATGTCAGCGCTAACAACTTCAAATGCTCAAAAACTTTATATTCTGAAAAGGATTGGCACTGGCTAAATAAAGTAAAACGTGACTAAAATAAATAATTGGCACAACGCTGGTCAGGGTAACCTGTGACAAGACATTCAATGTAAACTGGGGAACACTTCTTCAATGTAATAGCTGAAAAATGATAGCTAAGGCTAACTTTAGCCAACTCTTCCATTAGAAATTACAGGCGGCTGTGCATACCTCATTCACAAAACTGGAAAATTTATAAATGACGTGGAGCAATTTAATATAATTTGAAACATCACTGGCAAACAATTTGTGATAATGTCTGTCATCGAACTGTCAGGCTTCACGTCCAGCCAACACTGGGTCTGTTCAGCAATTCGAAAACCATGTAGGCAATTGACGATGCTGCTACGTCGAGCTGACGACAGGTTAGTGGAGTAACGGAATACTACAAATCAAACTTCAGTGACTTAATTTGTAAAAGCTTAAGCATATTCGTATAGTAATTGATGTTAAAGGGGTCAACGACCAACAGGAAACCTTGAATTTGAGAGAGCAGCTATTAGGCCACGTTTAAGCAGAGACCGGGGTGAGCGTTAGCATAGAGGAATCTAAAATAATCTTCGTAACAGCGACCTTTTTTTAAACATCTAACTACACGATGTATTGTACAGAAGACCTATCAATGTACAATGGCACATATTGGTACATATTACCAACCATTTTGCAGTCTTTTCGTCTCCTTATTAAGGAGCCCGGAGTCAAAGACTTGAGTTTGACTCTGCTGCACTGGAAAAAGGAAGAAGCTAGCGCGCATGCGCGATAAATAACGCGTCACAGGATGAACCTCTGAAACACCATAATGCACAGGATTTAGCTCATCGCCCTCTGCCGGCGTGGAGTGCCATACATATTATGAAGAAGTATGCAGTACAGTTTATTATTTTTTGCGGTTGCACAAAATCAGCATGAAATCAAGCAATCAACACCTCATTCGTCAAGAACGTTACATAATAAAAACTGTCACTGTTTTAATCAGTGGTTCTAGGGTTGCCAACCGTCTCTTGCAAAACAGAATCTCCCGTATTTAAACCAAACTATGAGTACCGTATTAAGCTGAAAAGGGAGGCAAGTTGTCCCGTTTCTATGGTTTGAATAAAAAAATAGTCTCAAATGTTAATGGAATTAATTAATAACTCCTTGTATGAAAACTCACGGTAAACTTATTTCCAGGTCCTCTCCTTCTCTGTGACCAATGACCTAACAGCACACTCACATACGTGTATGAACATAGGTGGCAGTATGGGTGACAGTGATACTGACTTCGACACTCAAAGAAAAAATAAACCGAATCGGCTGCAAAATTTTATGGAGTAATCGTTAAAAGGAAACATATGTGTGTAAAAAGTGTCATGATTAGAGTGACCACCCGCTTTACGTTGTATTGTACAGCAATTTTAGCCTCTGTGCCGCGTCACGCAAATTCAAAATTTTGTTCCACTTTTTCATTCGACATTACTTCATTGAAAATAAACTATTTTCTGTACCTGGATGTCTATTGGCACGTCTATGAGTGCAGTCTATAGCAGTGATAGGTCACCTCGTGGATAAGGCGGTAGCTGACATGCTGTCAATCAAACTGCTGACTCGCAGCATTGGCACACACTTTGGAATCTGAAATCGTAGAGGGCGCAGTTGTTTTGATACTGTGAAGGCACCCACGTGCAGTGTGCCGAAAACAGAAGACGCCACCTTTTGGCTGAAACCGATGGATGGAGATTGTGAACGAGCATTCTGCAATTTGTGTATAAACACAGAATGCTGGTTCTGTCGGGCATGGTCGTGAATCTGACGGGAAACAACTCGGTGCACGTGAGTTTTACACGAGAAGCACACAACACAGAATATATATATATTCATGGACGTTGAATCTTGTTTTAGTCTAGGTTTTAACATTTGGTTGCTTTTCTGCTACCAATGTTTCAGAAACGTACTATTCATAGTGCTGAGAAAGGCCGTTGGACTGCTACCTGCTGGATTGTGATCTGTTTGGTGGAGGTGAGGTATTTCTATTTTTATTTTCATGTTTCTGTCACAGATGGCCGTATAATCCACAGGAGCTGTTGGATTTATAGAGACCTGATTACATTGACATCTGGTCATATTTGGTTATGCTTTATCTGCTTATTTAATGTTAAATGTGGAAGAATTAAGATAATGCATCAATAAATATATGTTGCATTGTGTGTTTTTTAGGTTTAGGTTATGTCTCGGGTACTATAGAGTTTTTGTTTGTTTTGTAGACCTAAACGGTGAGATATGTGCATGTTACTTGTTTAAAAAAAAAAGTAGGCTTTAAATTATTGCATCTGTCCCTCATTGTCACACATCTGCTACTTGGCCCCCATTTCGTCGGTTTGGAGGTGGTCACCCGGGTCATGATCAGTATTTATTTAGTTTTTTATTATTATATTATTTATTTTTGAAGACTTTTTCAGGAACTTATTGGTATGGTATTTTACTGTGAGCAAAAGTTGATGTACCAAAAAGGTATGTTTTTTTCTGGTTGTTAACAACAAAAATGGTCATAGCTAAGTATTTTAAGGCAAATGAGTGTATTTTTAGTCATTTTTGGGAAACTTTTATTTTCAGAGATTTATTTAGGAACTTATTGGTATAGTATTTTAAAGTGATCAAAGGTTGTGGTACCGAAAAAGTATATTTTTTTCTGAATTTTAACCACAGGAATGGACATAGCTGAGTATTTTAAGGCAAATGAATGTATTTTTAGTCATTTTTGGGAAACTTTTATTTTCAGAGATTTATTTAGGAACTTATTGGTATGGTATTTTACTGTGAGCAAAAGTTGATGTACCAAAAAGGTATGTTTTTTTCTGGTTGTTAACAACAAAAATGGTCATAGCTAAGTATTTTAGGGCAAATTAGTGTATTTTTAGTCATTTTTGGGAAACTTTTATTTTCAGAGATTTATTTAGGAACTTATTGGTATGGTATTTTACTGTGATCCAAAGTTGGCGTACCAAAAAAGTATATTTTTTTCTGAATTTTAACCACAGGAATGGACATAGCTGAGTATTTTAAGGCAAATGAATGTATTTTTAGTCATTTTTGAGAAACTTTTTTTTTCAGAGATTTATTTAGGAACTTATTGGTATGGTATTTTACTGTGATCCAAAGTTGGCGTACCAAAAAAGTATATATTTTCTGAATTTTAACCACAGAAATGGACATAACTAAGTATTTTAAATGATTATTGATATAGTATTTTACTGTGATCCAAAGTTGGCGTACCAAAAAAGTATATATTTTCTGAATTTTAACCACAGGAATGGACATAGCTGAGTATTTTAAGGCAAATGAGTGTATTTTTAGTCATTTTTTAGAAACTTTTATTTTCAGAGATTTATTTAGGAACTTATTGGTATAGTATTTAAAAGTGATCAAAGATTGGGGTACCGAAAAACTACATTTTTTCTGAATTTTAACCACAGGAATGTACATAGCTAAGTATTTTAAGGCGAATGAGTGTATTTTTTGTCATTTTTGAGAAACTTTTTTTTTTCGGAGTTTTGCTCAGGAACTTATTGGTATAGTATTTTAAGGCAAATGAGTGTATTTTTTGTCATTTTTGAGAAACTTTTTTTTTTCGGAGTTTTGCTCAGGAACTTATTGGTATAGTATTTTAAGGCAAATGAGTGTAGTTTGAGTCATTTTTGAGAAACTTTTTTTTTTCGGAGTTTTGCTCAGGAACTTATTGGTATGGTATTTTACTGTGATCCAAAGTTGGCGTACCAAAAAAGTATATTTTTTCTGAAGTTTAACCACAGAAATGGACATAACTAAGTATTTTAAGGAAAATGAGTGTATTTTTTGTCATTTTTGAGAAACTTTTTTTTTTCGGAGTTTTGCTCAGGAACTTATTGGTATAGTATTTAAAAGTGATCAAAGATTGGGGTACCGAAAAAGTATATTTTTTTCTGAATTTTAACCACAGGAATGGACATAGCTGAGTATTTTAAGGCAAATGAATGTATTTTTAGTCATTTTTGGGAAACTTTTATTTTCAGAGATTTATTTAGGAACTTATTGGTAAAGTATTTTACTGTGATCAAAGGTTGGGGTACCGAAAAAGTATATTTTTTCTGAAGTTTAACCACAGAAATGGACATAACTAAGTATTTTAAGGAAAATGAGTGTATTTTTTGTCATTTTTGAGAAACTTTTTTTTTTCGGAGTTTTGCTCAGGAACTTATTGGTATGGTATTTTACTGTGATCCAAAGTTGGCGTACCAAAAAAGTATATATTTTCTGAATTTTAACCACAGGAATGTACATAGCTAAGTATTTTAAGGAAAATGAGTGTATTTTTTGTCATTTTTGAGAAACTTTTTTTTTTCGGAGTTTTGCTCAGGAACTTATTGGTATAAATGGTATGAAAAAGCTTGGGCACCCCTGACAATTTCTGTTATTTTCATTTATACATCATTGGGTGACTGGATCGGCAACTTCATTCTGATTTATCAAAAAAACTGATCAACAGTTGTATTTCAGAACTGAAACTAGGTTTATTGGACTAACAAGCGATTTGCAATATGCATTAAAACACAATTATACAGGTGCAAAAATTTGTGAACCCTAACAGAAAAAAATAATCAAAATTTAGTAGATCCTCCTTTTGCCAAAATAACAGCTTCTAGACGTTTTCTGTAACATCTAATGAGTTTCTGGATTCTGGATGGAGGTATAGCATTCCTCCTTACAAAACATCTCCAGTTCAGTTAAGTTTACTCGTTGCCAAGCATGGAGACCCCACTTCAGATCATCCCATAGATTTTCAATGATATTCACGTCTGGGGAGTGGGATGGCCAACCCAGACCAGAGTAGATTTTGAGCAGTGTTTTGGGTCGATGTCTTGTTGAAATATCCAGCCGTGGCGTAACTTCAATTTTGTGACTGATAGCTGAACATTATTCTTAAGAATCTGCTGATATTGAGTGGAATCCATGCGACCCTCAACTTTAACAAGATTCCCAGTATCAGGACTGGCCACACAGCCCCACAGCATGATAGATCCTCCACCAAATTTTACTGTGGGTAGCAAGTGTTTGTCCTGGAATGCTGTGTTCTTTCGCCGCCATGCATACCGCCCCTTGTTATGAACAAATCAATCTTTGTTTCATTAGTCCACAGCACCTTGTTCCAAAATGAAGCTGGCTTGTCCAGATGTGCTTTTGCACTCTGTTTGTGGCATGTGTGCAGAAAAGGCTTCTTCCGCAAAGTGTGCTGAATTGTTGAACAATGCACAATGACACTATCTGCAGCAAGATGATGATTGTAGTTCCTTGGTGGTGGTCTGTGGGTTGTCTTTGACCATTCTCACCATCCTTCGCCTTTGCCTCTCCGATATTTTTCTTGGCCTGCCACTTCTGACCTTAACAAGAATTGTGTTTGTGGTCTTCCATTTCCTCACTATGTTCCTCACAGTGGAAACTGACAGCTGAAATCTCTGAGAACCTTCCCCTTAACCATGAACATCATGGTCATTTGAGAGCTGTTTTGAGGCCCCCGTGTTGCCACTCTTCACAGGAGATTCAAAGAGAAATACAGCATTTAATCGGCCACCTTAAATACTTTTTCTCATGATTGGAATCACCTGTCTTGAGGTTCAAGTCTTGACCAAGCCAGTTTTGTGTTTTATTTAACCAGTGACAAGAACTCACATTCAAATCAACAACATTTTTTCACCTGTTTAATTTTGTTTTCATGCATATCTTTACACATCTTCTGTTAGTCCAATGAACCTAGTTTCATTTCTGAAATATGATCATATTAATTATGAATTCATATTATTCTGTTTCCATCCATTTTTTGATAAATCAGAATGAAGTGCTGATCCAAACACTCAATAATTTATAAATGGAAATATTGGAAATTGTCACAGGTGCCTAAATTATATTATTTTACTGTGATCAAAAGTTGGTGTGCCAAAAAGGTTTTGGAATTTTTTCTGAATTTTTCCAACAACAATAGACATAACTAAGTATTTTAAATGAAATTAGTGGATTTTAGTCATTTATGAGAAACTCCCAGAAATGTCTTAAAATACAAATTATTCCCTAAAAGTTTCTACCAAAAAAGTTTCTTTAAAATATTCATATAAAATACT